GGAATAGTATCTCTTGAAAGAGTGAAAAGGAGACTTCGGCGAACCGTAGTTTTATAGATCAGTAGATCAACGAATGATACAGACATTACGCCAGGCATCAACGGCGCATTCTCTTTTCCGGCGGATAATCACCAGGTCCTCCTGGTCCTCCTACAAAGCCCATCGGTCCAGGTCCGCCTCCAAATGAATTAGGACCGCCAGACGAGGGTCCTATAATGGGAATTCAGTACAGAATAGACAGATGGACTAGGCAGATAATAAAGTGCATACGTTGCTGCCCTGGTTCATTTTTAAATATTTGCAGAAGTCGTTGAACACCTTCCAACATATTATTTGCTGCTGGCCTTTGACCACCTTGCGCTGGAATAGAACGCATTTTCCACCGAAAAGGCAGCTCCATCAACACAAACCTCCGGGACCATTTTGAGCGCCGGGGCCTCCTTGAAGACCTGCTCCCATAGGCCCGCCAGGTCCGCCTTGGGACTGCATTTGGTTAGGAGGCCCCTGCTGGAATGACTGTGGTTGGTAATGGCCTCCCATAGGTGGTCCACCCATTGGTGGTCCCCCCATGGGGCCTCCCATTGGCCCGCCTGCCATTGACTGACCAAATGGTCCTGAATAAACTTTAGTTTTGATCAGATTTACAACGATTCAAATCAAAATGGAATTTCCAAGGACCTACCTGACTGACCGAACTGCATTGGTGCACCCATGTTCAAACTTGGACCTCCAGGAGGCCCTCCTGGCCCACCAGTTGCAGCTCTCATGTTAAGCCGCTCGCGGCGAGCAGCCTCAAGTCGTTCAAGTTCCTGCTGACGACGCTGTAGATCTAAAATTCAATACATAATCGCCATAATTATAGGTTCGGCACCTTGAAATTCTTAAAGGCATAACATTTGGTTAAACCATACACTACTTTGAAAATGTTGAGATAAATTTAGGTCAAGGAAAACCTCAGTATACAACGGTTGATAAGAAATGATGGATAGAGATTATGCGCACGTCTTGATGCTTTCAAACACCTCAAATCTCCAAAAATACTAGCAGACGCAATTGATACAACTGAGAAGATTTGAAAAACCTATAACTTTATGCTTCACCTACTCAAAAAGCACCCATTTCAAAGAAAAACACAGATTCTTCTCTTACACCTAAAAATCGAAAAATACCGATAAGCACAACGCTTATCCTTCCCATTTTAATTTTCACTTCATAATTTTCTAAAAGCTAGCTTATAAACAAAGCATGATTTTGAGAGGACATGAAAAACTGAGGATGACAAATAATGTTTCCAACTAAACATGAAAGCTCCAAGGGGAAGTAATCCGCACAATAGAAGCTGCCTCACAAGCATCTAGCCTGATAAAGTAGATATTTCACGTTCCCCATTGAGAAGTGAGAATTTTCATTACTCCCTTTAAAAGGAGTGCGATAAAGCAGGTCAGATATTCAGCGGTTAGAACCTTCGTTCATTACTGAATGTAAAATTCAAGATCGCGCAAAAAGTGGGGGTGCCAAAGGCTTCCAACTTATGATACTTTTACAAAAACCGATCGCGGAACGAAACAAACTGCTGTCGCATGAATAAAACAAACAAGAAATTAGGTTCCAAGAGCTTAATCATAATAAAAACTGACTGACCCTCACGAAGCATTTGAGCCTGATAGTCTTGATAAGCTAGCTCCATGTCAGATTCGAGGCGACGACGCGCTTCCTTCAACTCTTCCTCCAACTGTGCTCTACGCTGTTTCTCCATAGCGTATAACTCCTTCCATTTCATACCGTATACAAACTCGAAAGTGTTTTGAGATGGGAAACGAGGGCCGAGCTCACGCTCCCTGGATTAGTCCGTTATATGTCCAATCTACCTAACACCTGCACATCTCACTACACAAGAACTCAAGTAGTCCACTACAGTTGTTCGAGAGTAATGTGCAGGTGCGAAGCCGTTACAAACTTAGAGAAGGAAGTGCCCAATAAAACTGATAGAACTAAACTTTTAAAAAATGCAGATCCCAAATTTTTTGTGTCGTTCAGTCAGCACTCGGCATCCCTTACTATTATTTTACTTGATGTCGTATAAAGTCCAAATAAACCGGAAATGTCATTTTTTGAATCAAAACATAATCCCATGATTCAATGAGAAGACGTCACTACGCGAACCACGAGATCAAAC